GTCAATGGTGCAAAAACAGCCACCAACAGTAAATTAGGGAGAAAAAATTAAAATCTAACAACGCATCAAAATCAATGTTGTTACAAACCATTCACATGTCCAAGACTGTGATAAAAGGTGAAAAAAAACTGTTCATTTACTTTTCATATTGAAAATACGTCATTTTATCTGCTTTTTTCATAAAGCCATTGACGTCATTTATGAATTTAGCCATTAAAGATTCAAGGCAATTAAAATCCTGTAATTTTTTGAACAATTTAGTAGTTTTGATCAGGACTGAGGTTGATTAACAGATTTATGCCAAAAATTTGTAAAACATATTTATCTGATGCATTTTCACAGCAGTTTAATTTAGTAAATGTTTTCATCCTGAACATAACAAAAGGGTAGTAAAATTGAACAGTGCACAAGGGTTAATGTTGTATTTTACATTACAAAAGCCTGATGACATTTCTTTAAAATTCCAACAAGAAATTTAGCGATTTTCAATGACAGTTGGTCAGAATAAATGTTTTTGTTTTTGAGATTAAATATTTCTTCATCAAATATTGATTTATTAGTTCTTGTGAAGTAAAAAAAAATACCATTGTCTAAAAAAGAAAAAAACATGCTTGAAAACAAGCAACTTTTTAATTTTATTCTGTAAAAATGCCTTAAATTACATTCAATTTTAAATGTGGAAATGTCAGCAGAATATAGAAAAAAACATTATGTCTTACTCATAGCTTTAAATCATACATCTCTTTATTGTTTCTCCATAGTTCCATTTTCAATTTTCATTTTCAGTAAACTATTCTATAAAATGTTAAAACAAAACAAAAAAAATGCCTGTTGGCATGCTCTGCCTTATTTAAAACCCATTTCATTGCTATCCATTAATACTGGCACCCTAGAAAAAACAAGCAAACTTTTTAACTTTTGCTGAGTATAGGTAAAAAATATGTGTGTTTGTTTTTAGATAGAGTAAATTTTTTTTTTCTTTAAACTCAAACAATATGTTATGATTCATTGTAGGTAATGTGGGATTGTATTTTTGGACACTTTCTTACCCCCAAGACCCAACTTAAAGGAACAGTTCACCCAAAAATCACAATTCTGCCATTATTTACTCACGTTTCACTTGTCACAAAAACTCTTTCTTCTGTTGAACACAAATGAAGATGTTTATTTTAAATGTTGGAACCAATTATGGGTGGCACGGTGGTGTAGTGGGTAGCACTGTCGCCTCAAAGCAAGAAGGTCACTGATTCAAGTCTCGGCTGGGTCAGTTGGCACTTCTGTGTGAAGTTTGTATGTTTTCCCTGTGTTTGCGTGGGTTTCCTTCGGGTGCTCTGATTTTCCCCACAGTCCAAAGACAAACGGAATTGGGTAAGCTAAATTGTCTTAAGTGGGCATCCACTACGTAAAACATATGCTGGATAAGTTGGTGGTTCATTGCTCTGTGGCGACCCCTTATTAATTAAGGGACTAAGCCGAAGGAAAATGAATGAATGAATGAAACCAATGACTTCCATAGTATTTGCTTTTCATACTATGAATGTCAATGATTTTCAAAATTCTTCAAAATATCTTATTTTGAATTCAACAGAAGTAATGATCTCATAAAGGTTTGGAATCACAGGAGGGTGAGTAAACTATGACAGAATTCTCATTTTTGGTGAACTATCCCTTTCATTTTGCAGTTCTCCGGCTATTGAACTTTTCTTTTGTCATTCTAACCATCATACTAACAGTGATAAATATAGAAAAAAATGTCTTTTTCTAGGGCTGATTCATGTCAACTAGTAATTTCTTAATTATTCCACAGCCTTCCTTGCTCAAATTTAACAAGGGTGATGATTTAAGTTGAGGGTGCTGTATTGGTTTCGTGTAAAGAAGAAGAACCCAAACGTCTTTATCTCTCTCACACAAATACACACATCAACAAACCAGCACTGATGTTTCAGTGTCTAACAAGCCAGAAGCACGATAAGCATCAGTTTGAGTCGGTGATGTTTGAGAGACAGCGCACCCTCGCCCTCGGTGGATGTTACTCATGTAGCAGACACTGGAATGACATCATCAGGGTAGAGAGGATGCTGGGTGAAGGCTTTGCTTGATAAAGGGAGGATCGTGCATGGCTGCCGTTGTATAGTCACAACGGCACAGAAGAATACAAATGAGAATGATTTATTTTCCTGTTCAATTATAGAACTTTCTAATTTGTTTCATATATAATTAAAATAATTACCAGACAGTTCCTGAGACAGGCAAACAGGCAGTTTCCATGCCCCTAAAACCTCAAGTACTTTAATCAATAGATATTGGAACTATAAAAAAAAAATTCCTTTCATATGTAATCACCTCAAGTAATTGACTCTTTGAATCACAGTCAAGTGTAAAATCCCTACATGTAAAAAAATGTGGTTCTAGATGGTGCTGTAAACCACTAAGCATGGCCTAGATCGGTTGGTAGAAGACCATGGACTGTTGGCTAAATGTCTGATATTTATGGCACACACAAATGGGAAATCTTTTTGAAGTCATCTGATTGGTTGAATTCTACAGGATTTTTGGAAATGTGGGAAGTTAGGGCCTTCTAAGGGCCCACACACTATTGGGACTCCCAAAACTACTATTAGAGGTCCCAACAACCCCCTCTTCACTTTTGTCAGCTAGTTGCGACCTTGCGGTCATACCATGCTAGCAAGTTCTCTGTAAAGTAACGTTGTTTTCAACCATAAACTAACCATTTTCCTGCATTTTGCCTTCTAACTTACACAACAGTGATATTTTGGGGGCCTGAAAACATTAATATTTTGACAACAATACCATTACAGTCTGAGTAAATTGTAAAAATGCAACTGTGATTGTCCAAATTTGTAAGCAAGAAAATGTTTTCTACTCATTTAAAACAGTTACTAAGACAGCGACACTTTAGTTTAGGTCACAATTCGTGCAATTAAGTACTGGCTTATTACCTGCCTATTATTAAGATATTAACTGTTAATTAGTAGTAATAAAGTGTGATCTTATTCTAGATCTCTAATACTATCCAGAACCTAAACCCAAATTAAACCCTAAACGACAGCAAACGAGTAGTTGATTAAGCTGGTAGTGTTAGTTAATGGTTTGTTAATATCATGTATTGTGACCTTAACTAAAGTGTTGCCACAAAGACTGTGTATTCGATTATACTCATTTGCCAGCAGACTAAAATAAGTCATTTAGACACACTGTACTACACTAATGTACACCTAAAAAAGTGCAAGATAGCAGAGGACATGGTTGCTCATGCGCTCTGTCACTTACTAAATAGATTCTGGGCAAACATATTTGACTGGTACTCCAAAGCTTATAGCAGACATTTTCTATCAGATGCCAAACTTGCCATCTTTGGCTTCTTAGAAAATACAACTTCTTTCCCGCAAAAAATGCAAGAGTCTTTAATGCAAGGCATGGTTGTGGCTAAAAGACTAGTGCTTAACAATTGGAAATCACTGTTACCCCCCTCATTCCAGAAGTGGATCTCCGACATGATATCAATTAGGCCCAATCCCAATTCTATTTTTGTACCTCTACCCCTTCCTCTTTCCCTTGGCCCTTGAAGAGTGTGAGGGGGAAGGACTTCAGAATTTACCCCTAAGAAATAGGACAGCACTATAACACCTGCACATGTCATCATGTCATCACAATCTCTTGCTTTGTATGAGATCAGACGATCGCGACTGCTGTAGTTATTCCAGTTGAGTTATTTTTTGGTATTTATCTTCAGGAAATCACTGAAAGCATATATTATGTTATCATAACGAGTGGCCATATTCATCTATGTATGAACACAAACACAACATTAACATTATAGCAGACACTGTAAAAAGGTCATTCCCTGCCACGAGACTTTTCTGACAGGGTATTTGAGTGTCATCGAGTGTCAGAATGTTGTGGGATTGTTATACAGGAGTTATGATTATGAATTATAGATAGCAAAATTTACTTCTTTTTTTAACCAGACAGAAAAACACAAATGTCGTTATCAGTGTATTAAAACATGTGGGTATTTGTTGTAAAAATTTGTAATAATGACAAAAAAAATAATAATTTGTGCTTCTCCTGACTTCCAGGTGCAGCTATACTGCCGTTGTAGCATGTGAGTTCTAGGAAATTTTCTTACACCATGGTTTCAAGTGTAGTCTTGAAAAAAATCTCAGTTTGAAGGGGTATCTAGCCCTTCCCCCTAGCCCTACACCTTCAAGCTAAAGAAAATTGGTTAGGGGAAGGGCTAAGGGGTAGAATTGGGATTGGACCATATATAGATGGAAAGACAACGATTTTTGTAGACTAGCTCCATAACAAAATCTTTGGCTACTTGGGGTCAATTTCTTGATTTATTTGACAAATCTATATTAAAGAACAATCCAGTGACCCCTCTGAGGTTTAAGCTATATACCCTCTTCAGTTTTGATTGTATGTTTTGTGCATTTTTTGTGCATACTGTGCTCTTAATCAGATTAGATTGTAAATAGATTGTTAGGTTTGGGTTAGGGTTAAGTTGACATGTACTTGCAAAGTTTCTTATAGTCAGTCTGTTGAAGGAGCTGTAGGGCAGACAGTCTACTAATACTCAAATGGACTATCAAAATAAAGTGTTAACCAGATTTGCAATATCTGCACATGCAGCTGGTACAACTGAACTCATCTGGAATGGACAAATAAGATGGTCTCAACAACAGCACTCCAGTCAAAACAATGGTATTACCACAGTAATTGTGTCAGAGCATTGAACTTATATGTGGCTGCACTTGATGTAGATGGCTGCAACCTTCCAGCTATTTGATTTCTGACTTCAGAGCATTTAAAACTAATTATATGACCATGAACTTGTGTTTCATTTTGCAGTTGATTTTGTGTTTAAAAATGAACATTTTATTACCAACAGAAGACCTTCAAAATGTCAAAATGGAACCAAAAAAGGTGTCTTTGTCATGCATGTATTTATGTCGATCATGAACAGAAATGCTCACTCTGTGTTATGAGTGTCAATCGCATGGAAAAGCTCCTTTAATTCATCTCCTGACAGAACGCCGTCTGAGAAATAAGCCTTGAACTCATCGAAGGACAGCTTCCCATCATCTTTTGGGAGGAAAATGTGGTTAACAGGTTTGCTTTGAAAAAAATATTTCTCATTTAATAGAAATGTCCATCATCTAGTTTAGATTATGCATATTAGATTTCAGGTGTTAGGTGAAAACACACACACACACACACACACACACAGATGGCATAAGATAATGTTTACGACAGAGCTCAGGGCTTGTGTTAGTCGATGCAGACGCCCAGAGGTTTTTAAACAAACAGTGGCAGGTGAGTCATGCCAGGCTTTACTTAAAATAGAATAAATACTGCTGCATGTGGTGTGCTTTATAGGACATGAAATAAAATGCAATGAAAAGCTTTAGAACTAACACAATATGAGCAGAAGATCTGCACTGAACACTGTTAGCATATATTAAATACATGCATATATTAGAGCATTTCATTTTCATTTACATTTGTGTTTCAATATGCAAGATTTTAAAGCACTTATGAATCATGGTTTTGGCCTATTGATTGCCATTTGTATAACCACAGCTATACAACAAATTCCATGGATAACAACATGGAGCACACTCTACTCATTCTATGTTAAAAACTGACAAACCCAATGTTGGGTTAAAATAAGCCAACAGTTTTAAGAGTGTAGTTTTCTACAGTTAACCATGGTAAGAGCTAGCAAATACATTAAAATCACATATTCAGCTGAACTGTTGGGTTTGAACATATTTGACCAACGCTATGTCAGGCAGGGCAATTTGTAACTTTTTGATTTAGTGGCTAAGATTTTTATCTCATTTGTGCAATTTAGTACAATTTGCTTGTCCCCCAATGAGAGTTGGGTTTAGGGGTGGGGTTGGGTGCCATGCAACCTTTTTAAAATCATACATTTTCATACGACTGAACTCTGAATCAGCTACTAACTTGACAAAACATTAAATATCTACATTTCCTTGTGAGATCAGACTGATTTGACCCATCACTGATTTTTTTAGGGCAACAAAACCACATAGACTACTGTGAAAAAGTGTCACAGTGGTTTAAACAATCGCAGTCACCAGACACACAGCACATGTGCCACTGAACCGGACTACATGTTCCATCATGCACTTTACACACACCAGTTCTAATTCACAACTGATTATAATCACACAACTGAATCTCATGAGGACTGATTACTAGGACTACACCTCACTTTCTTACTTTTACATGGACATCAATAATCAAATTATTTGCCTTAATCTGAATAAGTCAATAATATGATTAAGGTGTTTACATGAGTTGCTTTTTTAAAGTTCCTTTCATGATCCCGTTTAAATGTTCATTCATTTATTCATTGTCTTTTTGCCTTAGTCCCTTTATTAATCAAGGTAGTGGTGGGCAAAGTGAGGCTTCATGAAACACTGCAACGGTTGAAGCAAAATTGTTGAAGCTTCGAAACGTTTTGAAACCCGTCTCTAATTTTTATGTATTGCTCTGAAACAGCTTCAGAAAAGAAACTGAGAAATTATATCTCGCATTAAAGTTTTAAGTGATTTAGTGAAGCGGTGAGAGTTTTAGACTAGTATGAAGAGATAATGGGCTCAAATCTCTGAAATAATGGGTTTCGAAACACTTGCCCATCGGGATCTTGACACTGTCTCGAAACTTCAGTCGCACGTCAACCATCCCTAAATCAGTGTTCACCACAGCGGAGTGAACCGCCAAATTATCCAGCACATTGCCACATTGCATAACCGTGCTGTCCACTTTTGTCAGGAGTTTTAAGTAATTTCAAATGTTTCATTTTTAATTTGTCGACTTTACGTACTGTAATGTAATGTATTTTTTATTTAGTGCCATGTCAGCAACCAAGGCTATCTTCATGGCAGGAATCTTTCAACAATAAATATACAATTTAAAAATTAACAAACAAAATAAAACATAAATTAAATAAGATTTTTTGTGTTAATACATGATAAAAATTCTAAAATCTTTTCTGGTTCCACTTTGTCAAAAATGTCCTTAAAAGAGTTCATTTCATAAAAAGTCCTTCTGGAATCAGTAAAAGCAGGACAGTCCAGTAAAATATGTTTTACAGTAAGATGAGTTTTGCAGCACAAACACTGAGTAGGGTTTTCACCTTGGAGCAAAAATCCATGTGTAATTCTCGTATGCCCAATACGACATCTGGTAAAAACTACTTGATCAAATCGATTCTTAAAATGTCTTAAAATTCTGTGTGAAACTTCAGGTTGGATTTCATGTAGTTTATTGTTTTCTAATGCATCCCATTCCTTTTGCCACTTGTTTAAAATGTAAGCGTTGATAAAAGGTTTCATCTCTGACGGAGGAATTTGGCATTTGTTCACTACTTGCTTCAAAGCATCTTTAGCAGCTGCATCAGCTCGCTCATTTCCTAAAAGTCAGACATGTCCAGGAACCCAGCAAAAAATGATGTGATAAAACTGATTTTGTAGTTGGTGAACTTTAGTTAAAATATTGTCAATCAAAGGATGATCATTGGTTGAAGATTCCATAACTTGGAGGCATGATTTAGAGTCTGTAAAAATGATGGATTTCTTTTGTTGGGCATTTTCTATATACTCCAATGCTAAAAGTAAAGCGCGGGCTTCAGCTGTGAATATGGAGCATTCTTTAGGCAGACTGATTCCATGACTTTGTTCCCCTGTCACCATTGCTGCTGCTACATTACTTTCCATCTTTGAACCATCTGTGAAGATTGGTATGTGCTGAGAATTCGACTTTACGTACAGATCGGCAGTTTCACTTTCATTCATCTCATCATTTCATTTATGCCCCCCGACAAGCGAGATATAAGATGCGAGTATGAACTGCTGGAAGAGTGTTGCTTTAATGGAGTTTGATACCACATTTCGCGATGCAGGTGTCTGTGGTCCTTCACTGACTCGGTAGGTGCAGAGAATAGTGTCAAACAGCCGTAAGTGTATAGACTATCCTATTGCAAAATGCGGTGAAAACTCTACATGACGGTAATAGTTTGATTGCAGTGTTTACATGTCTGTACAGCACTTTAATACTGCGACTAATACTGCGACGGTATACTCCACGTCTTAATCCGATTTATGTTTAGTTTGATTATAGCCTTAATCAGATTAAATTAATCAAAAATCACTGTATACATGGTAAACTCTTAATCACAGTAATTTCCTAATCACGTTAAAATCGGATTATTGGGGTCCATGTAAGGTACTCACTGTTAGTGTGCAGCGGTTTCCCAGTTCTAGTTTTTGGCAGTTACCTGTGTTTTGATTTTGGATTGTATTGGTATTTTTCTGCCTGCCGCAATCATTGCCTGTCTTTATGGATTAATCTACTGGATTACCCATGTTGTACTGTTTGCTCCTGTTGACCCTTGCCTGTCTGACCATCCCTATGCTTCAATAAAAGCTGCATTTGGAACTTTATGTTTTGACCTTTATGTATACACTCGTAACAAATTAAAAGTGGCTCAGTTGTACAAATTCATACAATTTCCACCAAACCCATCCCTGGCAAAACCAGTTAATTTGTGGTTAGCATAGTTTAATAAACTTTTGGGGTTTTATCTGTAGTAAAACTATGGTTAATTAAAATAGAATTAAAGAAAATGTAAATAAAACTCCACAAAAACACCAGCACATGAACTGTTAAGTATATTTAGGAACATCCTTTAAATATATATATATATATATATACACAGTTTCACTTTACTATAATCTTCTATGTTAAGCTGCTTTGACACAATCTACATTGTAAAAGTGGTGTAGAAATGAACATGAATTGAATTGGAAAATTGAATTGGACTATTCTAAAACAAAAAAACTGAACTTATAATAATAATATATTTTCTATATATTTTTCATAATATATAGAAAAAAACAATATGTAAATGAAGGCTATTTTTAAAAATAGGTGGTTTACACAAATGAATTTGAAGCACAGTGACATTTGTTTGGTATTGCTCTACTAAAATATTGACTATCATTAGGAAACGTATGGCAAGTCTAGAGTTTCCATGACAACTGAGTACCAGCAAAGCCGGAGAATGGACACCCATTCAAACATATGGAGGTGTCGTAACATGCACTAATCCATACCAAAATATTTATTATGCAGGTGAACAACAGGTGAACTTTAAAAGCCAGAAAGGCAACGCTTACCATTTTTGTCAGCTCTTCTCAATATCTAAAAGAAAACAGGACATTATCAGTTCACAGCCTCTGGGCATAGAATAAAAAATCATGCTCAGCTGATCATGTAAAGGGACTCGTGCACTGTAAATTATTTAGGTTGAGTCCTAAAAGGAGCAGAGATGAAAGAAAACGTGATGATATGTTGACTTTGAAAACCCAAGCACGCCACAGCGGTCTGTTAAATAAAGTCCCATTTCACAGCAAGAACATTCACACTTTAAATATGGTCCGCTGCTGGGCATGCCAAGTCTAGGCTGAATTTAGCTTCCTCCTTAGAGGAGTGAAAAACTATGCCACTGATCTGTCAAGGACTGGTGCTTCCTCATTCCAGTATGATAATTAACAATACACACCTCTGATCCCAGCGGAAGCTCTTTAGACACCTTACTACAATTTAATTAGCAACTAAAACCGCAGTTACAACCAGCCTTTAAGCTAGCATGGCTTTGTACTTGAAGAGGATCTGAATCCATTATATAGCAGAAAAGAGAATAAATAATGTTGTGTTTAATTGACAATATGCATAATGACTAATTACATTATATTAATTGATACTATGCATAATGACTGCAAATAACAGCAATGCAATATGAGTCATGGTGCATTACATAAGCCTTTGCCTAATGCTATGAAGAATGTAAGTCTCAAATCACCTGAATACTTCAAGATCAAAACCTAAAACTACATTACAGCCAGGGAATTTTGTACACATTTCTTTATATTGTATGAGTGAGACTTTAAACATTTGCACATTCATATATACATCACTCACTCGCTTTCCTTCAGCTTAGTGCCTGATTTATCTGGGGGCACCACAGCGGAATGAACCACCAATTAATCTGGCATGTGTTTTATGCAGCGGATGCCCTTCCCAATCATATATACATAATCAAACTAAATATACAAAATTATGTTGATGTGCATATGACCAGATTTTAGTGTCTAATGTTTAAAAAAACACATTCTGTGAAAATTAAATGTTAAAAAATAGATGAATAATGTTCCAACGTCCTTTCGCAAAGTACAAAAGTCGGATTTATGCAATATGTATATTGAAATATATAAAAGAGTAAATGACTATACTAAATATTGTGGCATTTGAAATTATTAAAAATGTATTATTAAGAAATATTGTGACTTTTAATGATACTGGCAAAAATAATGGCATAAAAATTATATTTAATTAATATTTTGCTGAACTGCAAAATTGCAGAATCCTTAAATTATGTATTTAAATATTTATATTTTTTTAAATGTTATTTTCCTAATGTGACTGAAGTGATTGTTTGTCACACTAAACGACATTTTAGTTGATGTCTTCTGCCATATAATAGTACAAAAAGGTACAAGTTAAAACATAAATAAATAAAACTTAAAAAAAGCATAAATAAAAAATGCTGTCTTTGACTTATTATATACATATAATTTTATTTTATTTGAACCTAGTAGGCAAATATGAACAATGCATCAATGCAATTTAAAAAAATAAAGCAAATTTAATAATGAATGTTAAGCATATTAGAACAGCAAATTACAGAATAACAAATGGATATAAATAGGAATATATTAAAGCCACGAAGATGTCAGACGATAAACTACATCACTGTGAATCAATCAACAGGTTCTATCAGGTCTCCATTTTCCCTTTATCGTTCCACACAATAATTCAGCATAAAAATCATTCAAAAACAAAGTAGTTACTTAAAAATACTCACGTCCAAAAATATTGACATTCCTTTCTTTAACTCGATGGGAGTGCTGGCTTCATCCGAGAGTGACTGTACCTCTTCAGAGCAATCCATGGTCAATCCTAGTGATAAATAACTCTTTAACTTTGTGTTCTGACAGAAAAGCACTTAATGCGTGTGGACAGAAGGAGCGCGCGTTCTGCTGTGTGTTGCTCTAATGCGCGTGAAAGGAATCTCCCGCTGTACTCCAGTGATGAGCCACAGGTCTCTGATGCTGAGCTGCGCACCAATGACATTCGCTTTGTGCTCCGCTATCAGAGCTTGTCATTATTCCCTATACCTGCGGCGATTTCTGTTATGTCTCTCACCATGCAGATATTTTTGTCTCTTCGTGTCTGTCATTATGTAATAATGGAAAACCTTCCCAAACAGCAGCCTAATACGTTTTGGTCAGGTCATTATAAATAAACTATAACAGGTGAAAGTATAATAATTATTCACCACAACAGTAATAATGATAATTATAATAATTTATTAGTGTTTATCAACCTCATGTGAGTATGTATGGGTGTTTCCCAGTACTAGGTTGCAGCTGGAAGGGCATCTGCTGTGTAAATGCTGGATTAGTTGGTGGTTCATTCTGCTGTGGTGACCCCTGATAAATAAATTGACCAAAAGAAAATGAATGAATATCGACCTTATGTCGCTCCAAATTAGATTTTCCTTCTTTTTTTAAGAATACAAAATGAAAAATTCTAGTTGCTCTTGCATGAAATGAAAAATAAACTGTTTGCACACAACAATTTGAGTATGATACATGCTAATGTATATTCATTTACTTTAACTGTCATTTTAAAGTGATAATTCTGAAATTTAACATTTATATCATTTACTCCTTCAATTGTTCCAAACCTGTTTAACTTTCTTTCTTAGTTCGAACTCAAAATAAGCTCTTTTGAAGAAAGCTGGAAACTGTAACCATTAACTTCCAATGTATTTGCTTTTCTATGGATGTAAATGGTTGCCGATATCCAGCTTTCTTCAGAGTATCTACTTTTGTGTTCCACAGAATAAAAAACTCACGTTAAACCCATTTAGTGTTAGAAAATAGTGATTACGTTTTTTTAGGATGTTATCCTCAGTTTAGATCTGTTTACGCAGTATTTCATACGGAGAAAAGTACATTTAGTTATTTTAAAAATTATTCCTGTCATATTTTTTAATGATCTGTTTATTTAATGATAGCACGCCTCGAAGCACAAACGTCTCTCCATGAATGAAATGTAAAGTAACAGCGGCATCTTGTGGTAAAATATAGCACTAACAGAAACATTATGATTAGCTGATTCTTTCAACTGTATCTGGGTGCAGGATTGGAGACTGCATATCTCAGTGATGCAATGTCAGATACAATGCACTCAAAGGAGCTAATGACGTAGGCCTAACTGTGAGGGGTAAGATTGGGGGTGGTTATAGGTAAGCGCATTGAGTAAAAATTACACATGATTAATGAGAGATCTGTCAAAGGAAAAATATTATTAGCTAAAACTGAAGGTTTGTCACGTTAAGTATGTACTTCTCTTGCATTAGAGGTTCCACAATCAGTCATTAAAGAGGTGGATATATTTTTGTTCAATTTCATATGTAGAAAAAGACCACATTATCTAAAAAAGACAATTTTGTGCTATTGAGTTGAAGATGGTGGTCTCAGTGTTCTTCAGCACTTCTAATTGTATATTTAAAAACAAATGGATTAAGAATTACCTGAATTATAAAGGCAAAATATGGAGCATCATCCCTGAATTATTTTTTGACCAGGTAGGGGGTTTAGAATTGTTTTTAAGGTGTAATTTTGAAATTAACAAAGTGCTGACAAAACTAAACAGATATGCTTACTATGCATGCTTATTTATAAGCATATTTTTTCTCCACATAAATCAGTGATATGAAACAACAAATGTATAGCCTTTAAAAATAAATCCTAATTTTATAGAAATTGGTACAATAATGATATTATATTGGTGAGACAGTTATTCAAAAGTAATGTACAGCTTTTTAATTATTGTGAATTTCTCAATTATTACAAGATCCCCATAACGGCTAAATAATTTGCAATAATATTTGATGCAATTCCTAGGGGAATTGTTCAGCTCTTATCCGTTAATTTATCCTCTGAATTAAATCTTTTACATGTGAAAATTATAGTCTATAAATTTGATAATTGTTACATTCGAAAGTTATTCAGAACCACATTGTTGTCTAAATGCAAATCTTTTTAGAATTCCTTATTTGAGCAGATTGAGTGGAAAAAAGTTTGGAACTTACGTAGTAAATACTGTAGTAAGTTTAAAAAAAAAATTGTTTAGAGACATGGAATCGGCGTGTAAAAGACCTGTTTTTTTAATGCACATATACCCAAATGTTTTGGTTTGATGTTTAATATCTTACATTTAAATTTACAAAATAAAAATTCAGTTTTCTTGTAAAGATATGTTTTTGATATACAATAATATTAGCAAAACTTTGGAGCAAAATATGTCTATTAATTTAATCATAACATTATTTGTTTAAAATTGATCTTAAACATTACATCAAAATACCTAAAGACATTAAAAATAAAAAAAGCGATAAGGATCTATGCAATTTTGCAATCCTTTTCTTATGCAATTTTTTGTAGTTTATAAATCCCCTGTAATTTTATAGTTATTTTTTTTATTATTATTTTTCTTTACTGATTTGTTCCTTTGATGTGAAAAAAATTGTAAGCATTGTATTCTGCATTTTTTGTATGCCATTGTTCTTGTTTTTCAATAAAATAAATAAATAAATAAATAAATAAAGAGTTAAGGTGAGTGTATTAAAAAAGTATTGGATGCTGCTCAGATTGCACTGCACCAGGTCTCTTGATTCGTTGGACATTTGCGTACCATGCCTTTTTAAAATATAAACAATCTCATTCTCTAAAAAATTCTAAGTGATTTAATTAACGCAAAATCATTATAAATAATCATAATAACCTAACCCATAATCATACTTAATTTTACCATCAACACTCATCTTGTTTGATCTATACATACAGCTTTTACACAGTAAACACAAGATTATCCTGTCAACCGCCAACACAAAGGGCACCTCAATGAACCAGACAGGTCTGTCAGGGTATTTTGGGAGGGTGTGGAATTCCATCATTCAGCTAGGGCGCTTTAATGGTCAGTGATGGGACCACTTCTCTTCTTCATCTACATTTTATACCTGTAAGAACCTGTCAGAACCATTGCTTTTCCTAAAAATGTATATGATTACAGCTTCTAACATCTGACCCTGCCTGTTATCTCTTTTGTTGGACTGTAACTTTGATCTGTTTGCAAATTAAGCCAACTAAACACTTCATCACAACTCCTTTATAGCTTTTATCCGACTCTCAAAATACAGCCGTAAGATTAGTCCTTAATGAGCTAAAAAAAAAAAAACACACATCACACCTCAGTTCAGCCATGAGCACTCCCTGCCAATAGCCACTCTCATCAAATTCATGTTTGCCTACAAAACAACCAATGGCTCTGCAGTCTGCTCCCCCATATACCACACAACTTCAGATTTATGCACCCTCCAGGACTTCCTTTGCCCAAAAGGCACACAAATACTTTCACTGATCTTTTACTGTTCACTGCTGGTGGAATAACTTGTCCAACTGGTTTTAAGCAAGTATGTCTTTATCCTTTTCCAAGAAACATCTAAAGAATATTTTTTCAGAACCACACACATCTGTGTCCTTATCATTTTCTTGTGTAAGACTAAAACTTATCACAGACTTTCATATTGTTCCCTGTTTGTTGTTGTGGTTGCTTTGTTCTTCTCACTCTTACTGCAAGTTATTTTGGATAAAAGTCCATTCTTAATGACTAAATGTATAATGAGCAAATACACACCCTAAAAAGCCAACATGCGTGTAAATGCAACTCGGTGGCCCATCAACATTAAACGATTGTGTGGTCTATGACTAAGCTGCCATTCAGAAACCCCTTGACCAAAGCCAGTTGACCAAAGCCATCTGTTGTAAAGAGAACAAACACATTACCCTTGAGTTCATATGTGTTTGGACGAGTCAGCTTTCTACAGTCAAGCAAGTTTACCTATGGACAAAGCCAGATATTGTCTTGTTCTCTAAATTGCAGATGATCTATAATGGATCGTTTGGCAGGTCTGATGACTGCTTGAATGGTTATAATGCAACTTTGCACTCTCAAGGGATTTCTTTATTCCAGTGTACTATATTTTTACCCGAAATTCATGAAAACAGGGTAAAGTCTAAAGACTCCACTCAGTATATCTTCATCTCCGAAATGCTATGGGTCATTCTGATGTGCAAAGTACAGAAATGTTATCTTATGTTTGATTTCTTTGTTAATCTTCATTGTGAAATATACTACAAAGGCTTGTGTGGCAACAGTCCAACAGGGAACGATCTGTTTTGATAGTAAAGAGTGTCAAATGTCCTTCAAAAAGATGATATTGATTAAGACTGCATGGCTGGGAATTATATAGGAAATTAATCGATTTTAGCATCTTTTTAATAATTTTGTTGAATCAAGTTTATTTTATTTCTTTATATTTATATATGAGCAATATCACACAAGCAGCAGTGCAATGTGGCTGTATATCAGCACTGGTGGGAACCGTGTGGCTTAGTGTCCCACTACTGACAATATACAGCCACATAGGATTGCTGCTCATGTGATATTGCGTTCACACAACAGTTCAACGGCATAATCTGGAATTTAAAAGAGAAAATCAAACACAGAGAGTCTCGCAATACTTTTGTATGAGGAACTACTTTCTTCCACCGTTCATTCACATCTGCAACTGACGTCAGAACAGCAGAAACTGTTGCTACTTTACCAAAGTCACTTTACAGCTATATTTGAATGATTCTCTAGTGTAATGTCTAAAGTGATGACAAAACAGGCAATTTTGCTCACATTTTAAGATTATAAGGCTGAACGGCATGAAATGCCATCAGATTTCCCAGTTTTTCTCTGTTGCAATCAGGAAATCACAATAATTAACCCTGAAAAAAGCTAAAGCAGCGCAATCACTACACTACTGTTGTGTTAGCGATGAGCAAATACACTAAACACATACAGGCATTTCTTCTTTCTTTCTGTTTACTGAACTAGTTTGCATAATGAAAACAGGAAATGCATCAGAGTCAAACAGATGGCAAACCAAATCTCGG